AATATTAATTTACTGTGGGAGGATGTAGAATACATCCCACTCCCCAGTTGGGCAAAGAGAGCTTATTTTTTGTCATTGATAAAACCCACAAGGTTCACAAGGTGAACACTGGGTTTTTAGATTATGGTCAAGGAAATGGTTTCTTTTTGTAGAATGAATTCTAGCTTTTCAGTAGTAAACTCATGCATGTACACTCTGTATTTCCAAGTGGCTTTCTGGTAGTTTTTGGTACAGCAGCAAGATAAATTATAGTATGACAAAGGCATTATTGCAGATGCTGCCACATTGTTCCTCCAAAAATACATATTGGGCACTAGCCACTGGTAATAAATTTGCTAAAACATTCATGTGAGTAGAAGATTTCCTGCCTTAACATTCATACCAGGAAATCTGACAGGAAAACTGACTTTCTTTTGGAAGCCATCAGGCCATCACTGAAATCTTTTTTTTCCCCTTACAGGAAAAAAAGCTGCAGTAACCCTTTGATGCTGAGAGCTTTTTTTAAGTGGTGAAACATGATAATAAAATCCATATCCATTAATTTATCTATCACGTCCCTGTCAGTACTGACAATATATTGAAATCTCTCCTTCAGGAAGCCTTGGTCACAGTATAAAACAGGCCAGATTACTGGTCAGGATATTCCCAACTGCTCGTGCAAGTTTTCCATTCCTTCATAAGGAATATGAATAAAAACCAACCTGTAGGTTTATTGCCTTTGTGTTCTTTTAGGCTTTATAGTCATTTGCTTGTACATGCCTAAGTATATATCTATATATTCATTCTCTCCTTAGCCTTTTCCTCAAAGATGAAACAGGTAAAGATGTCTTCTAATTCAGTGTGCATCACACACATAAAATGTAGCTGCCCCTCATGCATTGCTGGCTTCCTAGACGAGAGAGTTTGATCAGGTTTGTATAAATGCAGAAACTAGAAAGATACTGTGAAGCAAGACATCTTTTTTATTAAGGTTGCCTTGATAAATAGTTAATAAAACATTAATAAATCATTAATAGAGGCTTTAATAAATGGTAAATCACTTGGTTATCTTTATTCTGTCAAGCCAGTAGGTTGCTTAGCATCACTAGCTGTAACATCAAGTTTGTAATAACCTTAGAACATCTATTCATCATATATTAATTTTTTTCTGAATATAACTTTAACACACCATGTAACCAAAAATTGGAGAAATTTTAAAGTAACAGGTTTAGCTAGGAGTTAAAATGACTGAGAGGGGCAGTTGACAGAGAAAATACCACAGATAACATCTCTTTAGCAGCAGTGACCTCAGATTGCGTTTATTGCTGGCAGTGTGCACAGAGCTGCTCCTCCTCCTGCACCTCTGGCTGCCCTCTAATGATGTGGGCAAAGAGTCGGTCCCAGAAGTGCCTTTGTGGACTCTAATGTCACAGAAGAAAAATACCAGGCTTATTGCTTTCTTCTTCTGTCTTTTTGTGGATCAGCTGTCCCCAAGAGAGGCAGTAAGGGCAGCAGTTGGCCAACTGAGATCTAACTAACTACAGAACATGAAAAAGACATGGGAAGGTCTTAGAAATCTCATCATCTACTGTGTGTCCCCATCTCAATGCAGGAATCAATTCTGCCTAAGCCATTCCTGACTGCTGTGTGCTTACTCAGTTTTAAGTGTGTTCCTCCGAAGGTGGAGTCTGTGTAGTTCTCTGAGCAATCTGTTTCAGTGCTGCACAGTCTTTACCGTTAGAGGGCTTATGCCTAACTGGAATCTTTCTGGCTGCAATTTAAGTTCAGATCCACCATAAAACTGGAGAACAGATTATTCTGTCCTTTAGCAACAACTCTTTCTGTAATTGAGGACTGTTCTCGCGTCTCCCCTCGGTTCTCCCGAGGGAAGCAGCATGAGCCCTATATCTTGGGAGACTTCAAATTAGATCAGGCTAAGCAGTTTAGAACACACAGTAGAAAGGGAAGCTGCCTCAGTAGGCACACAGAGTAAACAGGCTAGCTACTCTTTTCCAGAATGACCTCTCAGAACCTGGCTCAGTTCTTTTATCTGTGCTTAAAAACATTGCACACTTTATTTTGGACAAGACAGAAATGATGGAAAACTGAAATATAGAGAAAGGAAGTAAGTCTTGAAGGCAGCTATTAATTTTAGGGGCTGGTTTTGTAAAACTATTTACCATCTGCCCCACATCCCCTGTACTCATTTCTCTCAAGCTGACCTTTTCTGTAGAAACTTGCAAGTTTAAATCCTTCCCCAGTCCTCTCCTTCCATTTAAATAGTGATTTGGCCTTGTACCTCTGCAGACCTTAAAAATTTGCTTGAACTATTTGTGTTTTTGGTGATTCATTAGATTGCATCTGCATGTGTCCTTCTTAGTTACTTACCTGAGGGCTTGTACAGCTGAAAAAAACAGATTTAGCTGAAGAGAGGAGCATGCCTAGCTCTAATAAATAAAGCACATGGAGTCAATTAAAACAATGTTTAAATAATTTTCAGAAAGAGGGATGCTTGATCTTATTACGTCAGAAGACCACAGTGACTTTTAAGCCAACAAACTGTGCAGGTTTACTTTCTTATTTAATCTCCAGGCCTATAAAAAATGCCAGCTTCCATAGCAGTCATGCACCCACTCCAACAGTTAACATGATTTTGGAATTATTTTAAGTCCGAACCATGTGAAAATAAATCCTAACTCAATTTTGTGGGATTACTTTGTTTCCATTAAATTCCTCTTTAAAGCATTTCATATGCTTGGTTTTATTATTGTTACTTCCAGGAATTTCTAAATACTTCCAAATTTGGATTGATTAAAGTTTTTAAACTTTTTCTGGAAAAAAAATATGAGTGCAATTACTTGCCTACTTTCCCAGGTATTTGCAAACCAAGATGTTTATATATACACCTTAATGGATGCATACACAACACACGCTGTCAGGGTAGTTCTTTATAGTCGTAACATATTAGAAGACAGACTTATCAGATTTCACAAGTTAGACAAAATAAAGATTAGTGAGTACTTAAAGATGAGGGACCTCCAAAAGAAATTGGGGCATGGCAAAGTATGGTGAAGTCATGTGGATGATTAAACAAATGACATCCTCTCTTCTGATTCTCTAAAGCAAAGTGCATGTGCTTAAGGAACAGAGTAGGTGAGAGTTAAGCAGAGGGTCACATCTCTCTGCAGGATGTGGGGTTGGGGTTTTGACCCTTCACTGGAAACAGTGCTGTGCCACTTTTGCATGTCATTCTGTAGCTCAGTAGTGCTCCGCATGAGTCTAATACACAGCTGTGTGGTGGTCAGTGTGCGGCTGCTGCCCTTACATTTGGAAGTGACATTTTTCAGATGAGCAATCTCAAAACTTTTATGATCACTCAGGGCTCTTTGGTCAACAGTGCTGTGGCACTTATCTGTAGGTAGATGTAGGTATGTTTCTTTAAGTAACTATATACTTCCTCACCACTTCCACACAAAGTGGAGGCTTTAAATACTTGTGTTGTTTGGCATGTGTGATCCTATCTAGAATTTTCTATCCAATATTTTTTATTACAGAGATAATTGAAGTAAAATGCCTCTATGTAGGTAGCTTGTACCTTTGTAATAGACTTTGATGCTCACAAGGTCACTCTGTAAACACTTAGATTGGATAGTCCTAACCTCACTGGAGTTGACTTTTGCCTTTGACCTCAGTGGAGTCAGGATTTCTTACCTTGTAATTGAATTTCCTCAAATAATAGCAAACTCATTTTTCCCTTTCCCACTGTTTTATAATCAGGTGTCCCCTAACAGGGAGATGACTCGATTTGCTTACACTTCAGCCTACTGAGTTGGTACACACTGGACACTAGATGCATTTTGACAGTGAATATTCTGAAATAATTGCTGGCATCACCTTCCCATGAATCCTAGGCTCTCTGTCCAGGCTTTTATGTGTGGGCAGGAAGAGGCTGAGGTCAACCCTATAATTGCAGTTCTAGAATATGCTTCATTTCTGCCTTCAATCAAGGCTGTCTGTCCCTCTCTTAATTATGTGATACAGTCTCTGTTTCATCGTTTTGCTATGAAGAGATTTGCCACAAAGCGACCTCTATGGCAAAGGATTTGGCAGAGGCATGCAAGTTCTGGATTATATTATCTCACACAAAAGTCCACTGGATGCTCAAATCTTTTCCTGCTTTCCTCTGTGCAGAGGTCAAACAACCAATACACTATGCTAGTCTACTTCTTGTCATTGCACTGAGCTGCTGCAGTCTCACCCACCAGGAGGGATGAGTTGTTCACAAACTGCGTCTTTCCTCCTCATTGCCACCATTTGGGCTTTGTGCAATGAAAACAGGTCCTGGGCTAAGGGTGACATTTGATGGGCTTCAATAAGATAGCCTCTTAATATTTATTAAATTAAAACATAGGTAAGAGCAAATGGAGCAGCATCTACCATAAAACACACTCATTAGAAGGGCATTTGCATTGACATACCATACCACATAAAGTGCCCATAGCCAGTACTATGAGAAGACACTTGTTGCATAGGACAATGTCCCCACCCACTTCTACACCAGATATTTGTACTGCATCCCAGCCTTTTCTAGACCTGCCTCTGGTTTATTTTGCCACTAAGCTCTCTTGAATAGGGTTGTCTTTTGCCACCATGTGATCCTCTATATGGTTACATCCAGTACGATACAGGAGGAATCCCCTTCCTGTTTGGGCTTTGCAGGTAATCTCCTTTTCTATCCCTGTGATGGCTTCATTCATTCAGCTTGACAGGCTGACCATAGAGGTGGAGTCAGCTGCCACCTGATGAAAGCACAGATGGTCAAAATTTTAAAAAATAAAAGCTGTTCTTGTGCTGCCTGTTGGGTAGTTAAGATGCTTACCTGCCACATAAGGATGGGTGGTGATGCTTCCTTAGGCAATTGCATCTCCAGGCTCAATGAAGAGTACATGATAATTTTTTCCCCTCTTTCACCTTTATGAACATGAATGTGTTTTCAAAAACATGTTTTTTTCCTTCCCTAGGAGATGACCCATTCCTGGCCTCCTCCTCTTACTGCTATTCACACTCCTGGAAAGGCTGAGCAGACCAAGTTTTCTATCCCAAGCAAGGTACAAATAGGCTATTACCAGTGACCTGATTAACATTCTGTTCTGTTGAGTGTCCTTTGTTGGAGAGTTAATTTTTTGTAATTTGTTCCATTTTCAAAAATTTCTAAAATTATTTTTAGTTACAAATTCCCAGTCTGACTGTTGTTATTAGTGGACCTCCTTATTTAAAGCTGCAGAAGTTACAACAGAGGTAAAGTGAACTTTATGTCTGTTGTTACAAGAGTCTTTCTACATCAAGTACAGTATTTATTATTATTAGTATTATTTTCTTCAATTATTATTTGTGCAATGCGGTGGCTAAAACAGTCCTTTTTATAAGGTCATAAGAAAACAAGGGGTAATGATTTAAACTGGAAAAGGGGAGATGTAGGTTAAACACTGTGAGAGTGGTGAGGCACTGATACAGGTTGCACAGAGAAGCTTTGGATGTCCCATCCATGGAAGTGTTCAAGGCCAGGTTAGATGGGACTCAGAGCAACCTGGTCTAGTGGGAGGTGTCCCTGCCTATGGCAGAGAAGTTGGTACTAAATGATCTTTAAGGTCCCTTCCAACCCAAACCATTCTGTGACTAATTCCCTCTTAGTGATTGATTGCATGATGAGGTTAGGCTGCATGGTTAAATTATGGTGACTGAAAATGTTTCTGCCTGTGAACAGTGCTGTGGCATCTGCCTGTGTGCACACTCCAAGGGCACACCAAGTTGCTTGATGCCATCCTCAGTATTGCGCTTGTTAAAAACACGCACTCAACACTTGGCACAACAAAAGCACGTGCCTGAAGAGCACCTGCATTTCACCTAACAGGTAGTGAATTATTAAGTTTTATGACTTGTACATGCCTTTGGCCCAAATTCTTGTTGCCTTCTAGCTATGGTTCTGGTAGCACTGTTAGAGAGGGAACTCATTCCCAAGGCAATTATTGCTGGAAGTGTCTTATGCTAGCACCTGAACAACTGTGAGCTGATGTTGTTTAGGGAAGGGGTGAACTTCCCCAGAGTGGGAAATCTCCACCAGTCTGACATGGAGCTGCAGTTGAGTTTCTTTCTAAAGGCATGGCCTTGGAAATTAGCTCATAAAACCGGTACTGTTTGACATTATGGTTCGACAAAATCATATCCTTATTTACTGGTTTTATCCTTTTGGCAGATAATCTTATGTCTGAAATACAGCCACTGTACTTAACTGGGAATTGTATGACATTATCAGTATCTGCGGCTCCTTAAAAAATGAAGCCAGTGCCCAGAATGCCTTATTTTAACAGGATGTGATTGTTACTGCTCTAGCACTGCCATTGTCACTGCAGTTAGCTGCTGCAGCACTGAGCACCAGAAGACAGAATCATACAAGAGTATAATCCTCGTTGCAAATTGGGCTAAAGTCAATTGAACCCATTTAGGTGAAAGTGGAGTCCGACCTGTGTGAACATAGTATGGGTAGAGGGTTTTGCCCACAGTATTTTACAGATTTGTACCATCTCTTAATTTACTGCTCTGGTTTAGATGGGTCTTATACAAACTGGTTGAAGTCTTGCAAACTGCCATTATCTCCACTGGCAGCAGTATAAGCAATAGAAGTTCAGAGAAGCCATAATTTTCTTTTGCTTTTCTGTTTCTATTAAGTTTTGCTTTGAACTTTTAAAATCCACATCAAAGTTAATTTCTGGCCATGCTACATCTTGATGCTAAACTTCTTGACCATATCACTCCAATACAAAATACAAATAAGATTTTTTAAATTTTTTTAAAATAGGAACATAAATGTTTCAAATTTTGCTAGTTTTACTTAAAAAATATAACAGAAACATCTCCAGAATATCACACTAAATCAATTATAGCTAGCTGAATTATAGAACTTAGACATAATGCTGCTAGATTGTGCAACCATATAAACCAGAGACAGGCACTATTAGAAGTTCTCAATTTAACTATTTGAAAAAGTATCCTCACGAGAAATGTATATAAAAAAGTGTAATAAAAGAGGTGGAACTTATCAGAACAATTTATCCCTTTGACATTCGAATTTGAAGTGCCATGTTTACTCTTAGGGCATGATTTACTTCACAAGGGAATGACTGACAGCACCGTATAATACTAGGAACTAATAATGCCCTAAGAGGAAGTGCAGTGAGGGCTTTAATGACTTTAACATCTTACAGAACTAACACTTCCAGTGTAGTAGTGCCTGGCTGTAAGATGAGCTTGTATAAAACACCTTAATTTCAAATTATCAAACCCTGCTTGAAAGGAAAGCTGATTATAATCACTGTGAACTATAAAGCTTAGAGAAAAACTAAGCAAGAAAATACTGTGACATTAAGGAAGCAGCTTAGTTATTGTGAGCCAGCAAGAACCCTGGCATTATCGTGCTCAGTGTTACAAACCAGATTCTTTGCTTGTTTCAAGTTGTTGTACTTTCATGGATTTCTTTGGATTTGGACCAATGTCCATCAGGTGAAGATCTGCTTCCTTGCATCTTTATCAAATCCTGTGTGTCACAGTCCAAATATAAAAACACTGAGTATCAATAAAAGGTTACTGTATTTCCAAACAATGAGATCAGAAAAAGAAAGGCAGTGATGCTGAATTTAATGCATAGTTGTATTGATGCTGCTGTCTAAATAGTACATCATAGATGGCTCATACACACATCCATGGCCAAGCTTGGAAAAGGCTGGGACAACTGCACATAGAAGTCTATGCAGTGTCTCCCTAAAATGGGTATTTAGATTTACAGCAGCTGAGGACAAGCTCTTGTCTGAACTGTGGAAGAGCCTCAGTGAGGCTCTGTCTCGAGAGCTGATTTTTTTTAAAACTAATGTCACTGGTGCTGCCCTATCAATCCTGTACCATCTTTTTCCCTGCTTGTGTAATGCCAGAGCCCTTAATCTAGCAAGCTGTGTCTTACCTTCTTCATCTCATTTAACTAATGCTGACATTATATGTGTTCTCCTTTGTAGGACTCCCAACATCTGACCTCAGGATACAATGTACAAAGTAGGTCTTTATCATCCCAGTCCTAACAGGGTTGGTTTGGGTTTTTTTTTTCCTGCTTAATATCATTAAAACAAAGGCTAAAAAAAAAAATAATATCCATGGTGTTAAAGCAGATCAGTTCCATTTTTTATTACATGTTATGCATTGTGGCATGTTGTGAAACCAAGTATAATTAGATGGGCTGACAGCTTTGGGTGCATTTTAATTCTACAGTAATCTTTTGACATTTGAAAATGTGTTTCCTTTGTTTGCAGAGTGGAGTGATCCAGCAGGGAAAGTTGCAACTAAGTCAGTGCCACAAAAGTCGTAAGTATTATTCTTTCCAGTCATAAGTATTATTATTTCCATCTTTAAATCTCATTTTAAATTTATTATAAAGAATGAGCTTATTTCTCCAAAGGTAACTAAAATCTAGCTCTGCTCATAATCTTGTTCTGGCGTTCAGGTGTTCTCAGTAGTCCTTAAAAATTAGCCATAAACCAGTTTTATGTTTTCAGTGCTTATTACTGTTTCTTCTTTTTAAGCATTAGCTAACAGAGATATGTGTGAAAGATGAGTTTATTAAGCAGAAATAATGCTGATTTTAGTTGTACAGCTTGCCAAAATTAAATCACTTTTATGCTTCTCTCATCAGATCCTAAGCCTCTTACAATAGAAAATGCAGCCCAATGAACAGATGATGCAGGAATTTTAACATTCATACAGTGAGAGGGAGTAAAACATATAAGGAGGGATTCTACTAGCTGGTGTTGAAAAGCTGGTCTTGAGTTTCATACACTTTGAAACAGCTGAAAATCACAGCTGATCTATAAATATGACAGTTGAAAGTTGTGGAAAAGATAATTCATTGCGTTAAACCATTTTTCTTTGGTGCTTCTGTGGTGTGAGGCTGCAATAGTGCAGCAGTGAGTTGAGACTGAATTGTTTTTTTACTTTTACCACGGGATCTACAAGTAATTTATAAACAGGAATTAAAGAATAACTTTGAAAAGTAGGTTGTTGATTTAATACTTCTGAAAATATATGGGTTTGATTTCAGTTTGGAGATGCTATTTTTAAATTATTATTTTATTTTAAATATTATTTTATTATTCTTTTTTTTAGTGTTCAAGTGTTTTAAACTACTGGGCTGCACTAGCCCAACTGACATTTATGCAAATGCAATATGCTAATTTACAATTACTTGGATATTATTCTAGGGGTTCCCCTTAATCTACTAAGGGCACATTTTGAAGTAAATCCCTATGCAGATATACCTACATAACTTTTCAAAAATTATATATATTGATTCTTAGTGCAAGTTTGTGTACACAAAAGCACTTGCTGGCATTTGGTGATTTATCTGTGACTATGCAAGACATGCAGGACTAGGCTAGAGGTGGGTGCTGAATCCATTGATGGACTCACCAGGGTCTGAAGGTCCAGTTCTTTACTCAGAACCTCAACTCACAGAAGTTGTTCAAATGACATTTGTTGAGTACAGCTTTACAAAATTATGGCTAAATGACTAATCCATTTTAAAAATGAAATGTTTTTTTCTTCTTCAGAATGAATAAGAATTGGATAGGAATGCTAATGATAAATAGATAAATTTGCATAAACAGCATTTATTTGCGCAACTTGGTAACAAATTAGCTTTGCCCTTTGCTATTTGATTTCCAGCAATGGCTTAGTTTTTTTTAAAGAATCTAGCCAACTATACCCACTGTTCTTGGTAACAGAATGGGTACATTCATGTTTCAGAACATCTAAGTGATCCAAGCCTAACATCAAGCACATTTCATAGTAAAAAAAAAAAAAAATTAGAAAAAAAATTAGAAAAAAAATATTATTACATCTTAAAATTATTTTTCTCCTAAAGCAAGTGTATTTGGATTCCACTGTGAAAAATATTTTAGTGAGTATACCATAAAATACAATATTTCAATAGTTTGTAACCAACAGTAATAGACTTGTCAATCATGGTTTATAGTTATAAGCTGAATTTCAAAAGAACAGTGCTTCAGAGCTCAGTGGTATATAGTGCATTTAATGGGACCAAAGCTCTCTATAGGAAGCCTGATATAAAACCCGAAGATACTCAGTACATTTTATGAACCAGTTGCTCTCTGTTCTGCTGCTTGATCTAAAGTTCCAGTACTATCAATCAGATTTCTGCTGCAATGAACTGCCTTCTTATGGTAGGTGATAGATTTTACACATGAGAGATCAGAGCTGCAATAAAGCTACTTTTATTTTTAGCTTCCAAATGAAGATCAGCTAACCCATTACTATCACTTTTTCTATTTTACTGCAGAAAAATTGTTAAGGCAGCTTCTAGGAATTTCCACAGGGCTTTGGCAGGTTAGAAGGCAGTGCACTGTGAGACTTGGTATTATGAGGCCAATTTGTTTCCTCAGATCTGCATGTGCTGGGAATCCCACCACCTTCACTGGGAATTACAGCACTTGAGGACCTAATGAAATTAAAGCAGAGAGTGGGGCAGAAGGATGTAATTGTATCATGGAGAGCTGGATAGTGTGATCCAAATAAACAGTGATAGATCGACAGCTCCTGTAATCATTGTGTATTTTAATAATATTGTGTTTATCAGGTTGTAGTTGTATTAAGGATTTAATCTTTCTAACATTGGTTAGTTTCAGGGGTATTTGGAGTGAAATTACAGTCCAACTAACCCCCAGTAACATTTCTTGCTACACTCTCAACCACATAGCATGGTCTTACTGACTTCAAAACTGTATTTCTTACCAATTCTTTATATATGTTGTCAGTGAGATCTGTTATCTGTGTTTCAGCTTGATCATGTCAGACTGAATTTAAGTTTGTTGGTCTGTATGCTTTGTAGAGACCTTTTAACCTGGACATATTTCTAGACTTTTTTTAAGTTTACATGCAATTCAAGTGAAACTTAAGTTATATTTTCCATTTACGTTGGTCCTAGTGTCAGTCTTTCAGATTCCATTGGCTTTGTTAGAAATCTACAGAAATTTGGTAGCAATGTGTTTGCATTCACCATATCATTGAGTTATACCATGACTAGTTGTGCGATGTGTGCAGGACACAGATAGTTTACCTTCCTGACGCTGTATTCTGCTCCAGCAGCCAAGCTGCTTGGATGTCATTACAGAATTCAAGTGTAGAAACATTGGCATGATGGAAAATCAGACCAAAGGGATGCTTGATCTTTGCAAGATAACCTTTCAGGTGTGTGCTTCTAGGGGGAAGAATGGAGGCAACATATTGCAAGGTAGATTATTGACCAATGTCTTGCTTTTATAGCGAGATGCAAGACACATGACTTTTGTCTAAGTAAAGCTTTCTGAAATAGGAATTTCATCCTTTTTATACTATTTCAATGTACTTTATTACATCCACATGCTGGAGAAGCCCAATCCCCAATGCTTTGCAGCTTGTAAAATAGAAGGTACAGTACTTGGAATTGTGTCCATGTTCTGCACCTGTCTTGTACATGAGTACATGTCCATGCAGCTAACCTCAGATCCTAACTTCTACTCCAAGATCTTGAAAATGAAGTTCGGAATCCTGGTGTGTGGGTGTGTGTATTTCATGGTGAATGAAGTGGAAATCAGGCTATGTAAAACTACAGCACTTGGCTTCCCTTTCTTTACATTTCAAATTCACTGTAAATCTCCACTGGGTGTTGTGCAGTCAGTTTTCAGCCAGTCTACTCTGATTAGTTTATTATGAAGCATTTTAAGCAGGAACAGATAAGGTGCAACCAATTGCACTGAAAAGGATTTTCTGTCAACTTCCATGAATTTCAGGATACGAACTCAGCTTGCAACTTAGGTTTCTGTTATATAATTACCACTGCAAGTATGTCATCCTCAAACATCCAGTCCTTTTGTTCTGTTTTGGTTGTTAGCATTTGGCCTCTGTCCAGCTGGAAGCTACCCAGAAGCTTTTTAATCAAGCACATCCTGTGTTTCGAGATCATATTGCAGAGTAGTCTTGGGTAATTTCCATAAAAGCCTAGCTAAAAAGAAGAATGTAATCGTAATGGTGTTCTTCCCCTGACATAAAATTACTTCCTATACTTACTGTATTAATACAGTATTAAAAGGCCCTTTGCACAGGCTCAATGAACCACCGGAAACCATTAAAAACTTAGAGCAGCAAATTTTTGTGGATCAGACAAAACCAACTTACTTTAGAATTTTTGCTATTCATCATATTTTATGATACATAACCTGTGCAGGGGCTAGAGAACACCTAAATACAGTGGGCTCAAAAACAAAACAAAAAGCTGAAACTCTTTATGTGCCATTTCCTCAAGGATTTCTCAAAGGGGGCTCACCACTGGTTTCAATTGGGGCAGGATTTCAGTTTATGGTTCTTAAAAAAAAAATCAGTAACACCAGTACTTTTCTAATCCCAAGGATTATTGTAATACTTGATGGAAACCTGATTGAAAATGGAAATGTGCTTCTTGATACCGAACTACTTCTCATAAGTATCTAATGGCTTTTTGGAAGTTCTCCACTGTGTCAGGGACAGCCACCTGGGAGCATGGAAAACAAAATTTGGCAGCATGTTCAAGCTATGAATTAAAGGTAATTCACAGTTTGAAATGAATCAGCATGAGGTCCTTATGAAGAGTAATCAGGCATCAAGAGGATTTTACACGAAGGATTGTATATTGGGTAATGTGACAACAAGTAATGTTGTTATTCAGAACACTCAAATCAAGAAGCACTGATGAATTCTTAACCTTGAAAGGAATCAGTTTTAAAAAACTGAGATTCCTTCAACATTGATGCATCATTTCCAGTTCAATCAGATGAACAAAATTTAAAATTAGTCTCCAACTGGAATAGGAAGAATGTTTTTGTTTATTTATCCAACTCTATATCCAAGTTCCCTTCACAATCCATCAGAGGTGTAATACACTGAAGAAGCTGAAATCTTAGTATTTCTGATTACAGTTTTTAATTGATCGTATTAAAGCATAAGAGCAGCAATTGATCCCACAGTGTTGATTGCCTGCTTTCTTTTATAGCATAAGTTCATTTTCACTTAGTGAGTGTGACAGGCTTTAATCATTAGACTAAGTACTGCCTGTTTGTTAGAAGTAGGAAGTTCCAAAGATATTCCCTCTGGGTAAGCTGGGAAAGTCATGAATACGAGGGACTTGCACTGCCACGCACAAATTATGATAAGTGAACAACAGTGACATGTAATTGGAACTCCATGAATCTTTAGAGAGCTCCAGTGCACCATATTAAAGGCAGAAATAGCAAATGTTTTGATAAGATGTATTTAATCTTTCATATTTACTGTTTTGT